GTCACATAACACCGCAACGCGCATGCAATAGAGCATTCGACGTACAACAAATTACACATATATTTATATATATATATATTTGTACAGGTTCGATTCGAAACGGGGTGACGAGGTGTTACCGATCGATGGCTGTTCTTTTCCTTGTTTCCATTTTTTTCTTTTTTTTTTCCATTTTCACTTTTTCCGTTTTAGTTTGTTGGCCGTGTTGCTATATCTCGCCGGTACGAATTGCTTGGAGAATGCAAGAAATCACAAGACGGCGATATATTTTGGACAGACTTTTTGCAACAGAGAGAATAGTAGATTATGTTACTGTTGATCGATGGCCATTGATCGTGACACCGCCACCACCCACGTTGCGTTTCCAAACAGTTCAGGATACACAGCTCTGAAGTATAAAATCGATGCAGAGAGTGTCGCGTCGAGTCAGACGGAAGTGCACGTCAGCTTAACGAAGAAAAACGCATCACGCGAGACGAGGTGAAGGCGAAGAAGAAAGAAAGATAGAGAAAAAAAGATTCGATTCCTGTCCATTCGTGGCAGGAACGAGAGATATAACGATCGTTTTCGTCGGTGAAATGGAGAGAAAAGACAACACAGGTCGCGGTCGCTCACTCACACTTCCTCTACGCGCGTTGCGAGCGCGTTTTCGTTGCGAGTTTTGTTTAATTTGGAAGTTGAAGCGACGGGTGACACTCGAACGAAATCGATTTCGCAGCGTTGAAACGAAACCACCTCGCCGATGAAATAGGATAATACGATGATGAGAGAGAAAGAGAAGCCGCGTACACAACCTTATTACCTCATTGATTACAGTTAAAGATTTAATATGATAAAATGAAAACGTGAAACGAGAGAAAGGATTAAAAGAAAAAAACCAACTAATCTTAAAAAAAAGAAAAACGAAAAAAAAAGAAAAGAAAAATTACCTAAATATTAAAAGTTATAATAATATACAGAGAAGTTAAGTAACGATTACACGATTACGTTATACATGTTACTACTACAATTACTATTATTACTGCTACTACTATTACTACTGCTATTAACTATTACTACTACTTCTTACTAAGTACTCTATACAGGAAAGCGGTGTTCTTTTTTTTCTCCCGTTTTAAAGAGAAGAAAGAGTTACTATAAGTACATTTTTTTTTTTTTTTTTTTTTTGAACTATCAGAACGCAGAGGGACATTAATTAACGAGACTCAATTATCGAAGAGAAACAAATAACAACAACAAAAAGAAAAACAAAAACAAAAAGATTAAGAAACCAAAAGTATGTAAATGAAAACGTGCGACACGTCCTGCAGTTTATAGACGTTTTAAGCCGACAAGTTTCCATGACCAGGCACCGCTCACATTATATCCCCCCGCCCCTCTCGCGTCGGTAATACCAAAGAAGCGATTAGCGAGTTTTTGCGTATTAGTGAAGTGAAAATGCGTGGACACGCGTTATCGGTCGTGTCGAACGCTGTACTCACCTCAAGTTCCTTGCAAGAGCCAAGAAGAGCGGGAGGGGTGTGCAACACAGACAGACAGACAGACAGA